GACGGAGGCAAAGAAATCGTTAAACTTGTTAGCTTTGTCATCTGGTGTGACGACCAAATTTCCCAACACATCCTGCAAGGGCCCCACATTACCCGGGACCTTCTTTTTACCCCCTGTGTATTTAAAAAATGACTTCTTATTGTCCTTAATCTGGGAAGCTAGTCCCAGTTCCATCTCTACCCTGGCCTTCCTAACTACCCCCCTACATCCCCAAGCAACTGCAGAATAGTCCTCCCTGGTGATGACCCCTTCTTTCCATTGGGTGTAAGCCTCCTTTTTAGCAAGGAGACATTCCTGGATGCTTTTGGTGAGCCATGGAGGCTTGTGTGCTCTCCTGCTCCCTTTGATCCTTGTTGGGATTACCTTTTGTTCTGAAGCAGTCAATTATACATTAGCTCAAGCATTTTCAAAGACCAGAATTATCTGCAAAAATGCAAAGCCATATTTTGCTTGGCAGTGTATTTCTTTGGAACACCTGTTTATTGTTGATGTGCTTTGTATTTGTGTGTCTTCCTCTGGCCAGCATTTTGCTTCCAATTTCAGTTCTTCCATCTCACTGTCGGGTATCATTACTATCTAATAGGAAACACTTAATTTGTAAACAAAATTATCTGCAGAGCCCTCAGGGTTCATAAAACTATGATGTGCTAATTGACAGAAATAAGAAACCACAGAGCATTTCTGCAAACTAGCCCTTGTGTTAATCCTCAAATTGCAATTGTTGCAACTGTCCACTGTAAAGGTGGTTGAACTTGAGATGAAAGGTTGCTCAGGACAAGATCTACAAAAAAGCCAGTTTACGGAAATGGGCCGGTCTTAAAGGGCCTGTTTCTCAGGAAGGGTTGAACAACCATTTCCTGAAGCAAAAAGTAGCCCCTTGGAAGCATCCAAAACCTAGAAATGGAGACACTCAAACTCAGGAATCACTTTCTAGAAATCCCAGTTTCCACATACAGGGAGATGGGGAAGGATCACTTCAGTAGTAAAAAACAAAAATCTTATCAATATTGCATACATATAAAATCTGTGGTTAGGATTCTTGATTCTGTTGGGTTATAGCTCAATTCAATTAAATGAAGATACAACAATCTCCAATCTCTACCACCCCTGTACCGTCCCCCACACAGAGGAGATGGTAATAATCTGCAGATTTTTTCTGCAAGGTAGCTCAGTGTCCTTCTCCATGATAGGTATGTTTCTTACCCTTGAAATCAAGGGAAAGACAGTTCAACACTTGAAATCAGTGGAAGCCTGTTGCCCAGATAAGAGTTAAATGCTTTTCTGATTAAGTGGAATTTAGTCCAGAAGGTAGGGTATATATAGGGTATAACCTTAAAGGCTAACTAAGGTATATATAGAGAGAGAGTACAAGTTTTCATAAATTCAGGTTTAATTCATCAGACACTGTG